AATAACAATCATGGAAATAAAAGTAATAGTAATAATGAAAATGATGATGTGGTAGTTATTATACTACCACGGATAATATTGATAATGATAATGATAATGATAATAATAATCGTAATAACGATAATAATAATAATAATGATAATAATAACAATAATAACAATGATAATAATAATAATGATAATAATGATTATAACAATAAAAATAATAATAATAATAATAATAACGACAAAAACAATAATAATAATGATGATAATAATACTGATAATACTGATACTTATATTGATAATGATAATGATATTAATGATATAATTACTACTAATAATAATAATGATAATAATAATAACAGTAATGATAATAATGGTAATAATAATCACAACAATCATTATTATTATCATTATTATTATTGTTATTATTATTGTTACAATTATCATCATCATTATTATTATTATTATTATTATTATTATTATTATTATTATTATTATTATTATTATTATTATTATTATTATCATTATTATTGTTATTATTATCATTATTATTGTCATTATTATCATTATTATTATTATAATGATAATAACAATAATAGTAATAATGATAATAATAGCAATAAAATTTATAGTGATAACGATAATGACATTAATAGTGATACTAATAGTTATAGTAATAACAATAATGATAATAATAATAGTAGTATTAATGATAATAATAAAAATAATAATAACAATAATAATAATAATAATAATGATAATAATAATAATAATAATAATAATAATAACAATAATAATAATAATAATGATAATAATGATAACAATAATAATAATAACAATAATAATAATAACAATAATAATAATAACAATAATAATGATAATGATAATAATAACAATAACAAAACAACAGTTATAATGATGATGATAATAATAACAATAACATTTATGATAATTTTGGAAAATACAGATGACGGTAGCAGTGAAATATAGGGCTGATGATACTAAAATGTGATAAATATTATGGACAACAGGGATGATGATGATAAAGAAACGAGGAGTTAATTTGATGATAACGATGGTGATAATAATAACGAATAGCGATAAGAGAGAGATGAAATGAAACCAATATTATTGAGAAAAAATATGTAAGAATATTTATGGGAAAAAAGCTTTGACGAGAAATTTTATTTGTGTCAGTATAAATATATCTTCCTCCCCCCCCCCTACACACACACACAAAACAGAGAGGGGTAAAAGAGAGATGAATAAAGGGGAAAACCTATCTGGAAAGAAAGGACAAAGAGAGAGAGAGAGAGAGAGAGAGAGAGAGAGAGAGAGAGAGAGAGAGAGAGAGAGAGAGAGAGGAGAGAGAGAGAGAGAGAGAGAGAGAGAGAGAGAGAGAGAGAGAGAGAGAGAGAGAGAGAGAGAGAGATAAGGTGTTTACGATAGGGAGAAAAAGAGGGAGAAAGAGAAAAGACAAAGAGAGTGGGGGAGTGCGAGAGATAGAAGGGGAGAGAGAGAAAGTGGAGAGAGAGTGAGAGTGGAAAGCGAGAGAGAGCGAGAGAGAGAGAGTGGAGAGAGAGTGAGAAGAGAGCGAGGAAAAGTGGTGAGAGAGAGAGAGCGAGAGAGAGAGCGAGAGTGGAAAGCGAGAAAAAGTGGAGAGAGAGAGAGAAGAGAGAGAGAGAGAGAGAGAGAGAGAGAGAGAGAGAGAGAGAGAGAGAGAGAGAGAGAGAGAGAGAGAGAGAGAGAGAGAGTGAGAGGAGAGAGAGAGAGAGAGAGAGAGAGAGAGAGAGAGAGAGAGAGAGAGAGAGAGAGAGAGAGAGAGAGAGAGAGAGAGAGAGAGAGAGAGAGAGAGAGAGAGAGAGAGAGAGAGAGAGAGAGAGAGAGAGAGAGAGAGAGAGAGAGAGAGAGAGAGGGAGAGAGCGAGAGAGAGGGTAAGAGGGAGAGAGCCGGACGCAATGGAATTAATCTATGAGTGACGTAAGCACAACGCTCTGTGCAACCGAAATGAGCAGCTTGGGTGAGAATGCCATTATCAGCAATTCTGGGCATTTGATATTCCTCCAGTTTACGTTGTTCCTTTGATATGTCCAGCGACCTGAAGCTTATAAATTAATTCACTTATTTGTAAAATATGAACTGAATGAGTTGTAATAAAGTACATGTCCAGTGGGGAGATAAATTCCCAGCTCTCTATACCAGAAGCCCCGTGCGTGCGTTTCTTTCTTCCCCTAATCCTTTTGTTTTGATCTTCCGCCCTCCTAAGCCTCGCTTTTTCTTCATCTCAGGGTTTGACGCCTACCTGCGGTCGCTGCGGCCCAAGCGACGCGGCACGCCCTGCCTCGCGCCCGGCCCCGGCCCCGGCCTCCAGCGCAACTGCCGCAACGTGTGGTTCAAGGAGTTCTGGACGCAGCACTTCAACTGCACCTTCAGGGAGCGCCTTCCCCCCGGGCGGAAGGCGTGCACGGGCAACGAGACCATCACCCACGAGCAGGAGGGACTCGTGCCCTTCGTAGGTCAGTAGCTCCCTCTTCTACCGTCTCAACAAAAAAGAAAGGTAAAAAATCGGCGTTTCCCTTCCATGGTATTGACGGTTGCCCCTGTCATCGCACTGTATCCGAGAGCATTCAGCATAATCCTATGCTTTCCGGAACCCCCATTAACATTCCTGATTGATCTATACCATGCGCTCCAACGTGTGCATGCTCGTTCCTATTCAGCCACAATCATGCATGGCATTAGCATAATCCGAGGCTGGATACACAGGCAGCGAGAGGCATGGGGCCTTTAAAACAGCGACGAGTGCGCGGGGACTCTCGGATAAGCATCGCAGTAAACGTGATTAGATGCAGAAGGTTCAGACAGCTGTTCGACTCCCACAGATAAAACAAAAATCATTCCCTCGGTGTCCCCTGGGATGGCGGGCTCGGAACGGGAGCTCTGCCTATAAATATGAATTTCTTGATTGCTCTCCTCGCAGGCAGCCCCTAGGAAGTCAATCTTCTTGATGCTGTCAAGGACGGGCCGCCTGGATACATATTCCTGGCACAGTCAGAATTCTTAGGTTGCCGATATACTTTGATAGATAACAAATGTAAACCGGAAATTCAAAAGACATAGACTAATTTCCTAAATATAAACCACACTCAAAGGCAGATTCTATGCAATCACAGGACATCGCCATAGATTCGAAAGAAATAAACCGGATTTAAAAGACAAACCCCGCCCTCAAAAATATATAAACCCCGCACTCAGTATAGATAGATAGATAGATAGACAGATAGATAGATAGGTAGATAGATAGATAGGTAGATAGATAGATAGATAGATAGACAGTTAGATGCAGATATAGATATATCACAGATCCAAAAGAAGTGAAACACAGAGAAAACATAAAACACAGATTGAAATGACATAAGCCACCTATTCAGAATCCAAGCCACAGACACAATAGACAGAAACCAAACCTTAAAATAACATCAAATACACGATAAAGACAAATCACGTACGCAGGAGACAAGAACTAAAGACTCTAAAAACATAAACCACGCACTCTTGAGATATAAACTCGCACTCAAAAGGTAAAAACCACATATTCAACATATGTAAGCAAAAGATTCAAAAGAAACAAACAAAAAAATAAACCAGACAATAAACACGCACACAGACGCTATAAACCACAAAATCAGATATAAACCACGCACTCAAAAATACTCAGATACAAGTTACGCAATCAAAAGCAGTGAACCACAGACAGAAAAAACTAAACCAAAGATGCAAAACCTATAAACCGCATGCTCAAAATACAGGGACCGTAGACTCAATCGACACAAACTGAGAAGGCATAAACCACGCCACAAAAATACATAAACCACACATTTAAAAGGCATAAACCACGCCCTCAGAATACATAAACCAAACAAATAAGAGACATCAACCACGCCCTCAAAACACATAAACCACAAACTAAATATAACCACAGAATACATACTACATGTACAACATACGAGCCAACTAATCAACATGAAAAAAACAATATCATTTCACGCATAACATATCACGTATCAGACAACATATAAATCACACCACACCCCGCATAAGTTGATAGTAATAACTAAAACAACATAGAAACCGCAGTCATCAGACCGAAAAAAAACAGCATAAATACAGACACATTTTGCGCGGACATTCACCCACACGCCGTCCGATGCCCATTTGCGTTGAAACTGGAAAATATGAAAACTTTTAAAAATATCTTGTTTTTGTTTCTGTGGCGGTCAGTTAAATTCTGCCGGGAAGATGGGGGAGAGGGGGAGGGAAGGGAATGGGGAAAGGAGGGGAGGGAATGAAAGGAGGGAGAGGATGGGGGGAAAGAAGACGGGGGAAAGAGAGAGAGAGAGGGAAGGGGAGCAGGGATAGGAAGGGGAGGGAAAATGGGGGGAAGGAAGGGGAAGGAGAGGATGGGGAGTGAACTGAGGGGAAGGGAGGGGAGGGAAGGGAAAGGGGAAGGGAGGGGAGAGAAAGGATGAGAAGTGAAGGAAAGGAGGGAGATAATGTAAAGGGAAGATGGGGGGAAGGGAGAGGGATAGGAAGGGGGGGGGGTGAGGGGAAGGGAATGATTTGGTGGGAGGTAAGGGGAAGGGAGAGGAGGGGAGGGAGAGGAAGGGAAGGAGAGGAGGTAGACGACGGGGAGGATCAGAGAGAGGCTAATAAAGTGAGGGAAGGGAAAAGGAGGAGAAAGGAGGGTGAGGAAAGTAAGGGAGGGGAAGGGAGAGAAAGGGAGGGCATAGGAGGGAGGAGAAAGGGAATGGAGGGAAATTAGAGGAAGAAAGAAGAAGGGAGGGGAATAGGGAAATGACGAGGAGGGGAGACCAAAGAAAGAGAGGAGAGGGGAATGGGGAGAAAGGGAAAAATAATATGGGAAATGAGGCGAAGGGAGGAGAGGGGAAGGGGGAGGACGGGAACGAGGGAGGGGGGGAGGGGAGGGCAGGGCGAAAGAGAGACTGGTTGAATGAGTAATCTAAAGCGAAGTAATGAAGTATTTATTTATGGAGAGTGATTCTGCACCCTTTACATGATCCCTCGTCTGTGACTATTGAGAAGGAGGGTGAAAAATTATGGAAAGGGGAGATGGAAATATACAGTGATGAAGAGGAGAAGAATAGGAGAGACCTAAAAAAAAAAAAAAAGGAAAAGAAGGGACTTTGGAGGCGATAGAAAAAAAGGAAAAAAAAGGGTAAAGAATATATGAAAAAAGGGAGAAGGTTTATGATGGAAATGAAGTGAATATGAGATATTACATTTGGAATTTCCAATAGCAAGTAATAACTATGATCACAGAAATCAATATGGATGTTGATACAAACATAGGTAGAAACATGGATATAGACATAAACATGGAGATAGCAATAGAAAAAATATATATATAATTTGAAGATATACACATATAGTAAGGAATATAGTAATAGATATATGTTTAAATACAAATATGTTTTTTTTTTATATATACTGTACATGAACAAAGGACATACATGTTCATCTATACATTTGTACCGATATAGATATATAACACGAAACAACACCTGGTATTATTTATATTATTTACGAAATATATATTACCGACGAGAAGCTCCAGCCGCTGCGATCAATTATCCTACTAATTGCTATATGATTATGAGAGAAGAAGGTCTAGACGTCTAATTAGAATTGGGATGTTATGAACGATGCATGCCATTACGGATGGGGATGCGAGGGGGGGGAGAGGGGAGAGGGGAGGGGGGACGAGGAGGAGGAGGAGGAGGCCGTGAAGGAGAGGGGGAAGAGGAGGAGGCAGCAGGAGGAGGAGGAGGGGAGCAGGGGAGGAGGAGGAGCAGGGGAGGCAGGAGGAGGAGGAGGAGGAGAAGGAGGGGGAGAAGAGGAGGAGGAGGAGGAGGAGGAGAAGGAGAGGGGGAAGAGGAGGAGGCAGCAGGAGGAGGAGGAGGAGGAGGCAGGAGGACGCAGGAGGACGGAGGAGGAAGGGATAGGGATTGGGGGGGTTGTTGGAAGGGGGAGGGGGGGGAAGTGGGGGAGGGGAAAGGGGAAAGGATCGATAGGGAAGGATAAGGGACTGATAAGGGTGACTGAATTGGGTGTAAGAAAGGGTGAGGAATTAATGGAAGGGGAGAAGAAGAGGGAAAAGGTGGGAGGGGGATGACGTAAGGGAAAAGGATAGAGGGGAAGGGACAAGGAAATGGAAGAGGGAGGGTGGGAATTCGTGAAGAGTAAGGGAGGTAGAGGAGGAGGATAGGGACGGAAGAGAGGGAAGGGGGATGAAATCAGAGGTTAAAAAGGTAGAAGGGATTAAAGCGGAGGAGAGAGGGAGGGCGAGAGAATGAAGAAGGGGGTTTAGGGAGATAGAAAGATGATTGGTGGGGATAAATCGGGAGATGGGAAGAGGAAGGAAGGATAAGAGGGAGGGTGAAGGAAGGATGGGAAGGAGAAGAGGAAGAAGATTCATGGGTAAAGGGATCAAGGGATGAAAGGAAATCTTGAATCTGAGCTATTCTATTGTTGTTGTTGTTACTACTTCTTCCCTCCCTTGCCTAATTCCCTCTCCACCCCCTCCTCTCCCCTAGCCCTATTCCCTCTATTCCTTCCCTTCTTTTTATCTCCTCTACCAACCACTATTATACGTATATTTTTGTTACAGGTCCAGATACAGTAAACATCTATCTAATATAGCAGTAAGAATAAAACCAATAACAAACTTCTTTCTCGTTTTTCTTTTACTTCTTTCATTCTCTTTTCTTCCCCTTTCGTTCTATTTCGCCCCAAATCCTTAATCCAGTTAACATCTACTCCTTCTCCCTTCATTCACTCCCTCCATCCCCCTCCCTCTGTCTCTTTCTCTTTCTTTCGCCACGTTTCGTTCCATTCCGTCCACAGAGGCTTTATCCCCCTCTCATGTACTCTCTTCCTTCGCTCAAGGGATATTTTGACGAGACCCTGCTAAGCGGAACCTCGCTACCAGAGTTGATTGAAGCCTATTGCAGTGGGGTTGCAGGCGCTGACGTCATCATCTTCCGCGGGCGGTTTGGGGTCAGGGAGGGAGTGAGATGGAGATCCCGGATGTGGGAGGGAGGGTGAGGAGGGAATAGGAGGGTGAGGGAGGGTGAGGGAGCGTGAGGGAGAGTGAGAGAGTAAGATGGAGATCCCGGATGTGGGAGGGAGGGTGAGGAGGGGATAGGGAGGGTGAGGGAGAGTGAGGGAGAGTGAGAGAGTAAGATGGAGATCCCGGATGTGGGAGGGAGGGTGAGGAGGGGATAGGGAGGGTGAGGGAGAGTGAGGGAGAGTGAGAGAGTAAGATGGAGATCCCGGATGTGGGAGGGAGGGTGAGGAGGGGATAGGGAGGGTGAGGGAGAGTGAGGGAGAGTGAGAGAGTAAGATGGAGATCCCGGATGTGGGAGGGAGGGTGAGGAGGGGATAGGGAGGGTGAGGGAGAGTGAGGGAGAGTGAGAGAGTAAGATGGAGATCCCGG